CTTTACTTTTTTGACATTGCTAGACAGCTTTTCTAAAAAATTAAATGAATACCAATCTGTTGAGAGGCGGTAATGGTTGATAAAAATATGCATAGCAATTTCTCGAGTTTCTCTCTAAAATGCAAATATAATAGAGCAAAGGCAAAATTCTCTATTTTTGTGAAAAGCGCTTTTCGCGTCAGCGCTTTTTACGGGCGCTGAAAAACGTTAGCGCCTTTTCTGGTCGCATCGTGAATTTAAAGTTGTTGTTAAAAGTGCTACGCTCGATTTTCACCATGGCGCGACTTCGCGAAGATGCATGAATATTTCATTTGTCCCGTGTCTAAGAGGCGAGCAATTAACGCGCAATAAAATCAGAATTTGCTGTTTCTGCGCTTAATTATTGAAACTCGATATTAATTTGCTGATATTTTTACAGTATGCATAATTCATGACGTTTGATATGGAAATATATGCTGAAACCATTATTCATTTCAATTTGTCCCGCGATCAAGAGAAACGGCGATAGTTTTCCGAGATACGCTATACGCACGCGCACTTGCACCTACATATTTTTTTTTTTATAAAAGAATGAAAGAAACTAAATTTTACATTATTAGAATCGGCGATTGTTGCAAAAATTTCACTGTTTCAATTTCATAAATATGTAACATGCGTAATGTTCTCTGTTTCAGGCCTCGTTTTACTCGACAGCACTGAAAACCCTGATCTCTGTGTCTACTGTGATACTGCTTGGCCTCATATTTGCTTACCATGCCTTAGAAGTTCAGGTATGTGTCACATCTTACAGTATAATAAATGAATATCTGAATAGAAATGCATTGAGGTATATATTCTAAATGCAAATGTCTGTTCCACAGACATTTAAGATTTTAATTGCAATGACAGATTCTGTAACCAATTTCGAGGCAATCTTTTCTTAGCAAAAACATCGAGAGAAATTATCATATTTTTCATCAATTATTTAATTCTTGATATCACATTGCAAAGACTTAAATTAAAACTTTCTATCGAAGAAAAGTCTATTCGAAATTAACTGACATTATGCTAAGGAAAAATCTATTTCAAATTCATAAATAAATTTTTTATTGAAATCAAAATCGCGAAATGTGAAACATTCTTTCATATGCATTGAATATATTATTAATTAGGTTTTATAAATACATTAATTAGGTTTTATAAATAATTGTTAAAAGTTATCACTGCAATACTTTCTTATTATCAACAAATATTTCTACAACAACCATAAACTAAATAAATAAACTCCTGAAATTGAGAAATGTAATTCGAAGTAGCGAATCGTTTTTATGTTCGTTCGTGTCGTTTCCAGCAGACCAAGCACGACATTACGCCCGACTGATCGCGGAATTTAACGGCCGTCCATTGTGCCGTCAGTCGAAATCGCGGGAAACCGACACGACGCGAAGCTAATCGAAACGGTATCGCAAAATAGCGCGAACGATTTCACCGATACCGGACGGGTATGTGTGTGCACGCGCGGGGAAGGGAGGAAGGTGTTAATGCGCCGCTAATAAAAGGCCAATGACGTCGCGCGCGATCAAATTTTATCTATATACGACACTTAATACGCCGCCGACGATCGCATCGGTTATTTATACAGCGAGCTGTATTTCGAGCTTAAATCTCTAAACCGTAGATAACTAAATGAATGACGACGTATTTGTAGGAAAAATAAATATATAACAGCCTTCGGCGTTAGATCAATAAGCAACGTCGCGCAAGCTCGAGTAACTTCATACTTGTAATAAGACTTTTGCCCGTGTATGTGTTGCCGTTGTCTCAGAATTTTCATCTACTCTATTTTGTAACAAGTAAATTCTTTAATTCTTGGTTCTAAAGTAAATTCTTTATTTTAAATTCCTATAAATTTTTTTTCTTAAATTTATTTTTATGTTAAAATAAATATGGACACCTACTTTTATTTTAATAACTGGTAAATTTTTTAAATACTTATCACAAAGTTTTTGTCTCCAGCATATTGAATTAAGAGTTTATCTGATGATCTTACATGATAATGGCGCCTAAGAAAAATTACGGAATTAAGGCAACAGCAAGTTGCCAAGTATAATATCAGTGTAATATCCTTGGCGAGGGAAAGTGACTCCTAAGCTCTCGGACTCGCTTCCGGTCTGGTCGGAACTTGTCTTAATGAGATACCAATGGCCGGCAGCGAAACGAGCTCCCCAAAGCCGTGCAAAGCTTGAAGGAGCTCGAACGTTTAAGCGTCAACTCAAATATTGACGCTAGAACCGTCGTCTTTCAAGTCTCCGCGTCGAAGATTCTCGTTATGTACCGGGTGATCCCCAAAGAAATAGTATATAATTTCCTTATTTGATTTCCCGGACAATTTTGAACGGATAGATATTCGTTTCTGTACATAGAAGATGTAAACTTGACGCTGGGAAGATGTTGGAATATCAGAAACACGATAATGCATCGCTAAACTGTCCAAGAAAAATGTTTTAAAAAGAGATTTGCTTGGAGATGATCGATGAATCCACATTTTTGTATTTCTCTTTAGTTTCGCAACTTCCAGCAATCGCAATCGCAATCGCAATTTCAAATTTTCTGGCGCAATTGAGTCTCAACGCAGTTTTCCTCTGTATTTCCAATGAGTTTACCGTTTCTTGCGTTACTCTCTCATCGTTAACTTTTTCCAGATCGCGCGATCACGTTCGTGAAAACAAATACCAAATAAACATAAAAGTACATTGAGTAACAAAATTGAACTTTTTTGGAATTGACTTTGCAAGTTAATCTCACGCCAAATACATATTTGTTTTTCTTCTTTTCTCTCGCGTACTGTTTTTAAAAAAAATATCACGCATTTAAATGAGAAAAATAGACACGTCGCAATGTAATTATATTATATTCTAGCAATTTTATCGATATACATGCGCTCTGTGTCAGTCTTGTTTATCGGAAAACAGTACAAGTTAATTTTAAATGGCAGATCAGATTCCCCGGGCTCAATCGCGAGTGTCTACCAGCGAAACGGCGAAATTGATCGCAAAGTGAAAAAGAAAAAGACTACTGTCAACGTCCCTTGCGTATCTCGAAACGGATAATCCCGACTCAATGTACCGAAAAACGGTCTCGTCAAGCTCGCAGTCGTCGTGCAATGCAATTTCAACGCGCAATATACATATTGAGGCTTCGATATTGCTACATCCTCTGCGATGTGACAACGAGAATTGTCGATTCAAAATGATAGTGCCGCCATTCCGCTTCTCACATAAAAAGTAAATTATTTGAAAATTGTGTTTTTAATAAAATTCTACACGTTCATTCCGTCGAGTAAATTTCTTTTAAAAAATTGAATAAAAATAGTCAGTTTTCAACATCAAAGTGCTTTTTTGTACATGCGAGCTTATTCTACAAGCCGCAAACTTTTAACAAACCCTTGGAATTTGGAGTCGACCTCCTTTTTAAAAAAAAATCTTAAAGAAAATTACTACGTCGTTAGTGACATATAAAAGTTTTTGAGTTTTAATAAATGTCGTAGCATTGTTTTACGGCAAGATTGATAATTTATTGATAATTATACTGAAAACAATATGCTTTTATTTGTTATTTATAATAGAATAGAAATTAGTTTAGCAGTGAATTGTGCTGCTTTAAAAAATAAAATTGAAAGTGAATGCATCGAAAGGTTTCATTTATGTGGTAATAATATTTTCGAAGGGAAGCAAATACCATAAAAATTCCTAATACCGTAAAAAACACTTGTGACGTATTTAGAGAGTACTGTGTCGATTTCAATTCGAATCACGCTCTGATTTCAACAACAAGCTACGCTCAATAGCACTAATGACATTGTGTGCAATTTAGTGAACATAAATTCGCAACGTTTGACAGAAGTGTTTGCTAAGAAACTAAATTAGTAAATCAATCGCATTTAAATAATACAATCTGTTTTTGATATAACAAAATCCGTCAAAACTTTTACGCTCAACATTATAGCTTGCTAAATAAAATTTATCGCTATTACATTTTGAATTAAAAGTACAAATTATTTGAATTTAAATAAATAATTAATTGCACAATATTTGTTATTTATTATATAAGTTATAATTTATTATAATTTTGAAGTTAGATTTATACTTTTATATAATAAATAATTCTTTTTTCTATGAATATGAAGAAAACAAACACTAGAAATAAGTAAAACTTTTAATGAGAAATTTTTGTTTTCGTCAAAACAAAGATAAATTGTATCTTCCAGCGCTTTTGATCTAAAAGATATAGACTTCTTTTGTTTTATTTTTAATATATCTAATAATTTTTTAATTATCAAAAAATTCTTGTTTTAAGCATATCGAATTAAGAGTTTGTTTAAAGTTTGCGAAAAATTCTTTACAATCGCTTATAACCGAAGACCTATTGGTTTCCATTATATGATCGAAGATGTGATATTAGCAGTGAAAGATTCACTGATGACCAGCCCGGCTACTCCAAGCTGGCTCATGCAATCTTGCGGCAACAACGGCTGGCTTGGAGCCTAATAGCCTGCTGACCTTTCAGCACCTGTTGATTGTCGTTTATCAACGATTTGCATGCGCAGATTTGTCGGGATTCACCTGGCACTGCAAAGTGAAGCGGATTTTCTTCGGGAGACGCCGCTCTGTTCGATATCGCTCACAGAAATTTCTGATCATCTTATTTGCATCACGTTCTATATAGCTAAGCTTCGTAAATCTGATCGTGAGCAGATTTCTTTAACATAGTTGTAACTGATGAGCCATCAAATTTTGGACAATACGCAAATTTTGAACAAATATTTTATATTTAGATAATATATTTTATCAAATTCTATATTAAATTTAATTAATAAACATTAATATTTGTCATTCCGTTTTTCAAACGTTTATAAAATAAATTTTTTTAATTGTGTTCTCTGGAAAATGCTGAGTAATATTTTTATACTACGTTGTAAGATCTTTTTTGCACAAATCAGCACAGTTTTTTGATAATTTATTGTATATTTCAAAGTTTAACATGTCAACGAAGCTTAATTTTGCGGAAAATTATAACTGTAAAGGTTAGTTACGATATTACCATAAATTTCTGGATTCATAAATCATCGATGTTAAACCGACGCTACTCTTTTTCAATCTTTTAAGTAGCGCGCATTCTATAATATTTTTACCGTTGGTTGTCAATATCACATATTCCTTCCTTCACGACTTTCCGATACAATGTATTTTTGCTTCTCTTGTTAGGAACATCTTCGTGTCTCGCGGATTATTCTTCCGAATAAATGGACTTGCACTACATTATACTAATCTATTCAGGACGCCAACGGGTCGCATCTTTCGCACAAGCTGCAAAGTATCCGCGATGTATCAGAGGTGGGATATCGCGCGAGATGTAGTAGGTTTTGCATACCGTGATGGATGTATCGCATCTCGCTTGGTACGGTACAACTCTATTGTTGAAACTGCGAAATTTAAAATTGGGAGATCCTACCAACATTTAGAACGAGAGAACTTAAGGAATGATTTATGATGTCTTAAGTTTCAATGACCGAAGGTTTCCGATGCTAAGAATCTGCGATATCATGATTATTTACAAAGAACTTATCTGCGTCACGCTGAGTCTGTGGAAATTTACGTGAATATTCAAAACTTTTAATTTATTACAAAATAATTACATTGTCTATACTTAAAGTACAGAAATTCTTATATTTTTGGAAAATAAACATACTTGTTTCATGAATAAAATTGAAAAAATTATTATTTCAGCAATTTGGAAAATAAAAATTTCGATTAATTTAGATATAATTGTGAGAGTAATAAAATGTTTATAAAAATTCTCTATTAGAAAAAATGCAGAGATATTAGAAATAGAAGCTGCATACAGAGATATTCATTTCTATTCTGACAGGTTATCAAATCAACTAATACCATTATGTTTCGAATGTATGGCGCATATTACAATTCATTGCATAATTATAATACAATTATATCATAACATAATTATGTAAGCTATGAGTCATTAAATCATATTGCATTCACATTATCAAATTTTGTAAAATGAAGAATCTAAATGAGACCAAAAATTGTTGAAACTGAGTCCGAGGAAAAAATATTTCTAAAATTAAGAATTAATGAAATCAAAGATTCGCAAAATTGGAAATGAAAAAACTCAGAATTTGCGATACCAAATAGCAGTAATTTCCACAGAATTCGTGCCTGGTGAAGTAAAGAGTCTGCAAGAATAGAGATTTATGTAATGCCGGGTATTTGCGACAATGAGAATCTGCGGTGTCAAATATCCGTAACATCCAAAATCTGTAGTGTCGGCGCGAACAAATTGCGCGACGTCTGCCTCGAATAATGTGCGGTTGTGTAGGATCCTTTAAACGCGAGCTGTTTAGATCTGGCGGGATCGTTACCGAGTTAAAGGATGATTTGTTGTCGGAATGGCGGCGGCGTACGGTTACCGCGACGTGGTCTCTCGCACGAAATGAAGGGCGATAAACAACGAATACGTGTTGCAGCGTTTTAATCAAGTTACGGAGAACCGACCGGAATTCATATTAATTTGGAATTCAAAGAGCGGGGCTTTCATATTGAGAATGCGCGAGAGAGCTTATTTGTCTCGATTGGACGATATTACTCGCAATTGATACGAGTACGTCGGCGTATCTAAAAATCGCTTTGTACGCATCGCTTGGAAACTGAATCGCCACGAATAAATTATTTGTTTAGTTTTCGCTCAGCAATCGTACGAAGTGGGATGGGAATAATAAATAAACATTTTTCAATCATTTGCGGTTTTGATGAGAATACAAACGCGATTGATAATACTCTCTAATTAATTTGTAACCTTTAATAATGTGGAAGAGAATAATAAAATTGATAATGAGTCTCTCAGGCTCTTTATTTGGTTTTATTGAATATAATATGTTAATTATCTACAATACTAATGGAAACTAATAAAATAGAAGAAAAATTGTAATATCAATATTTTCGATAACATAATTATATTTAAAAAAGTAGTTCATTATTAAAAACTTGTGAGATATAATTCAAAATGGTGAGAATTGTATTATCGCAATATTACAATCGTTATCCCAAGATAAATATTTGTGATTTTTGTGTTGGCCGACAGTTGTTCATGATCGATAACTGCGCGGACGACTGGCGGATCGCGATGACCTGGCAGCGGATCGCGCAGATCGCGCTGGAGTTGGCGATCTGCGCGATCCACCCGATCCCGGGCGAGTACTACTTCCTGTGGACGACTAAGCTGGCGAACAAGAACGGCGACATCGGCTCCAAGTGGGTGCCGTACGACGTCACCCTCTCACTGCCGATGTTCTTCAGGCTCTACCTCATCTGCCGGGTGATGCTGCTGCACTCGAAGCTCTTCACGGACGCGTCGTCGCGGAGCATAGGGGCCTTGAATCGCATCAACTTCAACACCAGGTTCGTCCTCAAGACCCTGATGACCATCTGCCCCGGCACGGTGCTGCTGGTCTTCATGGTCTCCCTGTGGATCATCGCCTCGTGGACACTGCGACAGTGCGAGAGGTGAGAATTTTTAACCCCGTTATTCTGTAGCAATAAATCTAAGAAATTATCATTTCAAATATTTATTTAACAATTAAAATCGAAATTTTTTTAGTATTTACGTGAAATAGTTATCATTCATGCCGACGATTGAAAACAATTCTCATCTTTCTTAATTTGTTTTGCGGATCTTGTGAGAATATTTGTAGTCTCTTCGTCGTAGTGGCGCTCGTTCCGTTTCACTCGCACGATCCGTTATCTGAAGAGACAGGGAAAGCAGTGACGTATTCCGTAGCACGAGCATTTCGTATTCGTATACAGTTCGATGGACACGACTCATTTGCGTGCGTTCCGCGCGATGATTGATGTACGACCTAATGGCGCGTCCATCCGTCGCGCTATCGCATCGTAATCATAAATCTCTCGTGCGCTGTTATCGGCGAGGTGGAATTCCCGATCGGTGTCGCCGGTTGAAGATCGCGGGATTTAGTGGATTTTCGGCCAGCTGATAATTAAATTCGTCTCGTAAATAAATAGTCGTGCCGTAAATTGGGATTTCGAGGAATAATCAATCTTGCCCGGGCAATATTAAAGCGCTGCTTAAAGGATTCCTCTGCCAGGTAGAGCTCGGAGGAAGCGGATTCGCTTCCTGTCCGGACACCTCGGTAAAACCTCCGATTCTCCTTAATGGACGGCATCTTCCACCCACGTCTTTAACTGAAATATTTATCACTCGGCGAACGTCGATCTCTCTCTCTCCTCGGTTGACCCCAGCATCCTGCGGAAGTCCTCCGATGAGAATACCCGCGAGCGATCGTGAACACGCGGCAATGGCATGGCCTGACTGTTTCATCGATATCTGAAGAGCGATCATTGAAAGCGGATCTCGCGTTTGATTTTGCGTTCCATCACATTTTTTCCGATAGCCGATTATGATAATATCCCCGATAATGTTACCGTTCAGCTTTGCAGTACATTTGCATTAATGAATACACGGATATCGCAAACGTCGATAGTCTGAAATGCGTTAATACAGTCTGCTTTTTAAATGTTGTTTAGCGGAAAATAAAAGACAAATGTAACGCGAATAATTAATGTTGTATATTATAATATAATGTGTATTGTGCCGTTTGGAAATGAAAAACACAAATTATATTTCTATTACAAGCAGAAATTAATAAATTAAATATTCAAATATTGCTTAGAAATCAGAAATACACACGCAATATTTATTTTACATTGGAAAATCTTGGATTTTTAATATGAAGTGTGTTAAATTAAAAATTACGTGAAAGATTATTAAAAGACAAAAATTTTTTAAATTAAACTATTAGGATAAACACATGTTGATAACAATTGTTAACAGAACAATTTATTTTTACTCTCCGTAACATTTCCTTTTCATCATATATATTGCATAAAAGTATTATTTAATTATTATTCTTCCCAAATTTATTTTATAAAATAAATTACTATATTACAATGCTTGACAGTGTCGCATTATATTTATCAGCTTGCACAATTCGAAGTTATCGAATTTGCAGTCACGTATCTGCATTCAGAATTAAAAAATCAATTCGATAATTTCGCTCTCATATCGCTGTGTAAACAACCGTGGGCCCCGCGGCCAGTTTTACGTTCGGATTACGGGACCGGAAATTGTCGCGAGATTTGAACGATATTTTATTCAGTATATGTCCGCACGTGGCCGTGCGAATTTCCACGACAATAACGCGATTTTCACGGTACACGGTCGACAATCACTCATGCAATCAACGTTGCCACGAGAATAATCCGTTTCATAGAACTTCACCAGGATAGACCGTTATATTAAGTGCAAATGTTCGATTTTATGGAATGTGTGTAAGTAAAAAGGATACTAAATTCGTTACATTGTCAATTTTAATTTTTAATCCTTGATATTTAATTTAACTGTTTTTTATTCTCTATTTTCAATTAAACTAAAAAAATTTTTTTAAATATTGAAAAAATATTTAGACTTGCGAGAATGTTGTTGTAACAATGTATAAAAGTTTCTAGAATCATTATCGCTTTTGCATAAATTTCAACGGTCGATGAATATGAAAATACAAGAACTAACTCATTTCAACTCACATAGATATAAACTTTTGCTCGCATGTAAAATAAATATTAGTTTCGAGGAAAACAAACGAGGCACCTCAAACGGTAGGAAACATAGAATCCAACGCCACTTACGATACGCATCGAGTGAATGCCGAGGTGTGTCGAGGTAGTCATTTCATCATCTTAATGTATCTTTCTTGTAAAATTTTATTTACGAGTATAAGTATCACCCACGCGATCGTCTAAAGGCAATTGCGAGAAACGCACACCAGTGATTTATTTATTTTAGATTCGTTCGCCTCTCTCGCGATCGCGCCTACAAGGCTTTGTTTATTAAGACTGCTACTTTTAAGACGTATTTATTTATTTGTTGCTTCAGCTGTTAATTTTCTTATTGAAGCAATGTTGATAGTTTTATCACACACGCCAAAAATATATCACAAAAATAATAGTCTTAGAAACTTTTACCGTAAGAAACATTATTACTTTTTAAAGAATTATTAATTATTTTAATAAAATATATGAATTCGTTATATATTTTATTAAAATCGGTGTATGTGTTTGGTGTGTGCCTTATTTGCAGCGTCGCATGTTTTGTTACGCGCGTTGCTTGTCAGCTGGTTGCTAACTGTAAGTTAAAGAAAGAAAAGAATCGATATTTGGTTCGAAAGTCGATCGGAAGACGCAACTAAATCGCAGCTCTGCTATAATATAAATTTATTCCGCTGATTGTGACGTCAATCGGTGAAAGCGCATTTGTAAGCTTTCATATTCTGCAAAATATACCGGAAATTACTGTTTCAATGATTAATGACATGCATGGTGATTGATAATATGCGTGGGCGGCTATACGATTCGTCGGCCGACAAAACGATAATGGACCAGTAGGTCGACGCGCTTATCGCCAAGAGCCCGGAACTTGTGATGGACCTTAAAAAATGGTTTCGTCCTCCATGCTTAGACGAAACCGTGTAACATCGGCTGCGTAACGAGGCTGTTAAAACTGTTTTACGACGCGGATTACAGCCAGCACGCCACCCGCATCGCCTGAACCTTCTTTACGCTCGATAATGAATCTCGCAAAAAGGGAATAGTGGGCCACAACGTTATCTTTCATCCCACAACTTGTATTCATCCCCAACGTTCACTTATCCTTCGGATAACCGATTAAATGCTATCTGTAGGAAAATGGGTTTATCGAACCGTCAATAAACCGCCAGGTGATTTGATTTTGCAGAAAGAAACGCTCTTCTGGGTTAAAATACAAATACCGAAATAGTCTTTCACCGTATTTTAATTTTAATTAAAGGACTTTTAGAATCATATAATAATTAAAGGTATCAGTATATAATAAAAAAAAAAAAAACCTGCCCCAGATAATATTTTATATAATTCTGTCACTGCTATTATTTCTACCAAAATTTTCGGAAGAATTGAAAGTTGAAAGAAATTATTTTTAAAATTTTAAACGTAATTTTTTTTCTGAATGTGTTTTATCTGATACTTTATACGTCTTCAGAGAGACCTAAATCTTTAACCGTTTGAGTATCAAGTAGCGTGAACGCGTTTCTCCTGTTTTATGTCGAAAAGTGCCAGCAAGCGCCGCGGGAGGTCCGCTGGTTCTTGGGAAGTTCAGTTAATCTTTCAGTTTCGTGAGCAATGGAGAATAGACTAAACTGTACAACCATCTTATAAAAGCTATCCTCAAATATTAACTCGAAGAGTCAAACAAAGGACAAAAAAACGTGATAGCACTTGTAGATATTTTTCGACGTGAATAAAAGAAGCGCGATCGCGCTGTTTAGCACTTTTCGCGTGCATTCTTGCGATCGCTTTTGGCAATCAAACGGTTCTGAGTGTACATTCTAGAATTAAAAAAAAATTAAAAATTAAAGCATTTTAATGTCTAAGAAAGTTTAGAAAAAATGCTCGTCTTTCCGTTGTGAAATAATCGTCGTTTTACCATGACAGATTCCACGATGAGGAACACGCAAATCTCCTCAATGCCATGTGGCTCATCGCCATTACGTTCCTGAGCGTCGGTTTCGGCGACCTTGTGCCCAACACATACTGTGGTCGAGGTATAGCCGTTTCCACTGGAATGATGGTAAGGATGAATTAGTAAAAAGTCGCGCAAATGCTTATTGTTTCGAGAATTCTTTTCAATTATCTAGCACCATTTATTATGGCTTCGATTGTCGAGAGGCGCGGTAGCGTCTTGCAGCAAGCGTATAGAATATCTGAAAATTACCGCATGTTCTTTCACGCGTGTTCTTAACGATAGATTTGCCTCAATTTGAAATTCATTTTTTCTTAGCAAAAATTTCGAAGAAAATTGTTTATTGCAATTTTTCAATATTCTGTGTCATATATTTTTGTAGGCTTCAAATTAAATTCTATTAAACTCCATCTGGAATTGAAGAACGCAATCTTATTATCCGTTTATCTCTGAAATTTAGTTTGCAAAAAGTATTTTTTATAATTTGAAAATAATTGATATGCATATTTTCTTTAAAAAAAAAAAAATTCCAAATTGAAGGAGAAATTTCTCATTAAAAGGACGTCCGGCTTAATACTCTATATAAATTAATGCGTAATCTCACGAAAGAAATGCTACAACAAACATCAAGCAATTTTTGAAAATAATAACTTACATTTCTCCAAGTGAAATCGTCTTCTCAAAATATCCTACAAATATTTCTTAGATTTTCATCGAATGTAGTGATTATCCTGGGCGAATATTATAAGCGCCGTTATATCATATCACCAGGATCGTTAATCCTTACTGAAATTACCGTAAACTACACGAGACACAATATACACCGGTGCGCCCGTCGAGACGCGAAACTTCTGCAAGCATGTAACTCCGTGTAACTCGCGTTAAGCGCCGCACCGCACCGGTCAAAGCTTCATTATCACTGGACGCGGAGCTTAATAAGCGAGCGAATGTCGCGGGGCGATCAACCAATCTGTTGCAAATCACAGCGATTTACATCACCATGTTTCGGCGCTCTCAGCTTCACAGTAGCCGTCCATAATTAACGAAGGACACAATAAACGCCACCGTCCATTCACCCCGGAAATTTCCCGACGGTCGTTCCTTACCGTTATTGCGCCTCCTTTACCCTCCCTTGCCTCCTCCCGTGCCACTCTTCATCACTCTTCATCGCCCGTTAAACCCAACGCACTCCTGTTAATCCGTTAGTTTTCGCAACTATTGCCGAGCTTTAACCCGGCGATTCCCGAACTAATTCCTCGTAAATTCTCGTTTTCCCAGCGCGATGGTGATTCCTAAAAGTACAAATCGCAATTCACAACATCGAAATTCCGCCTACTCTTTCTCGCAGATCTCTTTTCATTTATAGAATTTTGTTTCTCTCTCCCCCTTTCTCTGTTTTACGTGTATTTACGCGTTCGATGCATCCCGTAAATTGTATGAAATTGCTCGTTCTCCATATGGAATCCCGATTATTAATTTCTAACGCGACTGGAGACAGCAATCTCATATATTCGGTTTCCCGACAAAACAGATAATCCAATTGATTAAATAATGAAATTGGTTTTATTTGAAGCATATTACACTAATCAAATAATTATCATAAAATCATTATCTTTTATTCAAAATATGTGTTTCCGATAAAACGGGTTGTTATTATTATTAATTAAGAAAATAATTTCTCCTGTTTTAATGTAATTTGCAAAATTGTTACTGCTTTTTTAGATCTCACATGTTCTTGAATTATCTCTTGATATCTTTGAAAACTATCTTTTAAAGTATTTTTCTTTTTAAATTATATTTTTATTTAATTTCCTGTTTTAATTATTTATTATTTGCGAAATTAAAAGGAAGACTTACCGAAGAGCTTATTAGAAACCTATCAAGAGCCGACTCCTTACAAGTCGCACCGAATAGCAGAACTTTTACAAATCATTTCAATCGTTTGCTAATCGTATTATTACTATTGAATTATTAGACTGCTCGATACAAATTAGTTTAGTTTTGCCTATTTGTAGAGATTCGCAATCTTGCGTAGGAGAGATAGATCGTTTTGTGATCGCGTATAAATATTACTAATAATTTCATAGCGATTATTTAATTTAAATTTACCCTGAAGAAGTTGTTGCAGTATTAAAAGAGAATTAGAATTTAAATTCAAAGAAAGCTTGCAAGAATTTTTTTCATATTTTCAGGGCGCCGGGTGCACTGCTTTACTGGTGGCAGTTGTCTCCAGGAAGCTCGAACTTACGCGGGCGGAGAAGCACGTGCATAACTTTATGATGGACACACAATTAACAAAAAGGGTAAGACTGCTGACCCCATCTATAGTATTTCAGTGTAGCGTTAAGAGAACATAGTAACCTTTATGTAGCATTCTCTCTCTCTCTAATATGGTTTTATGCGATATTTCTACTTTAGCATGACGTCATCGTTGCAGAAAGTCTTTCGAATTTTTCACAAAAATAAAGTCTTCGTATACTCGATAGAGTTGAGCGCGTTTCGTAAATAAAGTGCAGCCTATGCTGTATTAAGACGAAATTAAATTTCCTAAAAGATTTTTATCTCTTCGGAAAAATGTTCTTGTGCGTGAAAGATTTCCCAGCAATAACGATGAATTGCTCAGCGATGGAAGTATCTTAGTTGATTCTGCTGGAATATTTTTTTTTTAGTATTCCGATCTAATACTCAATTGCAAAACGTGCTTGATAAATTATTGTAAAAGATATTCGGAAAAGAAATCTAACGTTTATATTGACAGCACTGCTCTATACTGGTCTTGTACTAATCTATACTAATAATAGTCTGTAATATTCTGTAATATACATATATAGTCTTCGCCGCTTTTATATTGACCGACAATAAAGAGATGTATGCTTGCTCTTTGAACTATAACTTCAGTTGCGGTTGAAACTTTTTTATTGAAACATTCATTCAGCTTGTATAATCGGCTTAAATAGCGCAAATTAAGTTTTTTGTTTTAGCAGATTTGTTTTTTTTTTTTTTTACAAAAAGTTAGAATAATTTATTATTAAAAAAAACGTAACACGCATGAAATAATAGAATAAAATTTGCTTAATATAATAATAATATAAAACAGGTATTTTTTTAATTTAAGTAAATAACTTTAATTGCATAGTGCAAATAATCAACTTGGAAATTTCACAAATATCAGAATTGCGTGTCGTCGTTGTAATAGTTAACTATGCTGTGTTCTTGTTGTCGTCTGGCTCGCGCAAATTTCTGAATTATGGAGGGCAACTTTTAATGACATGTATAGTTTTAAATAATAAGATTCTAAAACATAACGACAAGTTGTGAAAGCAGTTTTAAATGGAAACTATGTCAAATTTTGACAAACGCTGTTCTCAGATGATTACGGAATATTTTAAATATTGAGGCACACGCAATGTCGCGCATAAAAGCTCACAAGTTAAACAAGCTTAGCAAAATATAAAGTATCTCGATTTTATGTTTAAAGAGTACATTTTTAATATCGTTCTATTAACAATATCTATGGATGTGATTACGAAATCACAGAAATTCCAAACTGATTCTCGAACAATCTTAGTCTGAGTTTTAGAAGTGCAAAATTTCTTAAACAAAGAGATAGTAATTACAAGCGTAATTGTGAGGTGGGTTTGAATCACACTAGCCGGTGATATCACGCAAAAATCGGGGGAGCAAATCAAGCGCGTAATGAGAGCATGATGGATATCGCTTTCTATGTATATAGTGCAACGTAATTTTCCGGGCTGAGCCACGTAATAAGAAAGTATCCCACTGCGACTAAGGTTCCCTCGGAAATAAGCAAACTGCAAGAAGTTTCTTTGACCTTTAGGCAGAACAGACTGTTCCTTGCCAATTTGAATTTTTAACTTTGACATCGTGATACTTAAGATTGACAGATTTCGGAGTTTAAGAACGAGAAATCAAAAAATTGTAAATAATGAGGAAGGTTTTATAAACTTAGATTGTGTATTTTCTTAGAATTCAAGCACACATTCAGTGATATCTTTAAAAAATTCTAAAAATCTGATATATCTACAAATGTGCATCCAAAAAAATATAAACTTCAAAAAACGAATAATTTAGTAAGTCAAAAATGAGAAAACTTAATTAAATACTTGAAGATATCAATGCCTAGTTATTTAAATATCTAAAAATCCGGTATTAAAAAAATATAATACAAGGTATTAGGGCGTATATCAAAATATAAAAGTTTATAAATTTTTAATATTACGAACTAAATAAACTCTCGTGATAAAAATATTAAACGTAAGAATTCTTCAAGGGTTTGTTAAAATTCGAAACTTAAAGTGCAGTTTAAATATTTCTATTGTAATAGCATCTTCATACTGATTGAGAGAAAATGCCTGTCGGAATGAAGAAGAGTGTCGTATCGTCTATCTAGAAAGTAGAGTTGAAGCACGAGGAAGTCGGCTAATGTGTCATTGTCATTTTAGTCTTTATCATCGTGACATCGATCGATTCAATCCCGACAAAGTTTCCGTGGAAAAAAGCTCTCCAAAGTAAATCATAAGGCGATAATAGAACGCCTGTTAGAAACAACTTGCGAGCACTTTTCGAGCGATATAACACGGAAAATTTTGACATTTCTAGAACACTTTGTAACAAGAATGGACGCCGCAATTCGCCGCTACATTTCATTGGTTCTAAATTTCAAGTTGAAAAGTTAAATGCATGCAATTGAAACTTTAGTGGAGCATTAAGAGCACGAAATATAAAACTTGCGTCTTAAAAGGACTCGCAAGAGCTGAAATAAAAAAGTTAAAATAATAATAATAATAATTTTATTTTCAATATAAAAATGAATAGCTCGCAAGCCTTTTTTTTTTTAAAAGCTCGAGAAATATTAAAACTAATTTCTGCACTCAGAAATAGCAGTCGCAGAAATGGACGCTTCTATCACTGTTCTTTCCACTTTTCAAAGACCCGCGTAACTCGTTGTAAAGTCCCGCAAATCATGACATAATCGATCTCTTATGTCAGAAGTAAAGAATTAATGCAGTGATTCGCAACTTCTCTTTCCGCCAAGACGGGACTTTAGTCAGAAATATCGCGGATCGTATTTACATTACGTTCTTAAAATATGCAAGATATGTTTCATAATATTTTTCTTGATATTCCAAAATATCTTCAGAGTTTACGAAGCATTCCATTCGGCGGAAATTCATCGAATGTTCCGTTAAATGAGCGTTGCATAAGTACGGTCGCTTCTCTCCACCTCCGGATCGAAGTCTTCAACTACACAGCTACTGAAATAATTATTAGCGAGCGTTATTTATAAACCTTGCAAATATCAAGGAGTGGTAACACAAAGCTATACACGTGACCGTATCGACGAGTCTTTTTACGCCGCTTTAACCCTTGGATGCATATCGTTTTTTTCACGTCATATTGCATAAGTGGAATCGATCTGATCCCATCAGCGGCAACAAAACAAATGTCAACTTCTTCGAGACATTTTTCTTGGTCATATCGACTTTCTGAGAGGCAAGATATTTTTCTTTGACGTATGATTGTGTGATTTGTACATATGGTTTAAAATTATAATCTTGTAAGTTTCTCTTTAAATGACACGTATCTATAGCGAAAATACGCGGAGCCTCGCAATGTACAATATGTAATTGTGAAATGTATACTCTAATCCCAGCGGAGCATTAATCATCCTTCGAGATAAACTATCCTCAAGATCTTAAAAGGGTTAATTGACCGTGACATTACGTATAGCTAATGTCACAGCTAACGAGTTGTGCGATTAATGCTATGATATAATATCTGCGACAAGAAGCAGAAATTTATATGTTAAAAATTTTTTTTTTCTTAATATAAAATATTTACAGTTTGTACATTTCTGATAATACAACATAACAATATTTTCGGCTTTTATTTCTCAATTAATGCAAGTAGATTAACTTTTATCAGTATGGATAAATTATTGAATATAGAATTGATAGAAGATCTAAATTTTTATGAGAAAAAAAATCGCGGAAAAATTATAAAAATTGTATAAGTGTTATTTAATTGTCTAGGACATAATATGATACTTTATAAAAACTGCAAATATATTAAGAAAGTTTTAATACTTTTGAACATCGACACGATCCTAGATTTTAGCCACTGATGATGGATTGGCGCCGATGTTGTGGTTCAACTGACAATGCTGATTCGCTCTGTTACAGTTGAAGAACGCCGCGGCAAACGTGTTGCGGGAAACGTGGCTGATTTACAAGCACACACGCCTGGTTAAGCGCGTCAATCCGGGACGTGTGCGGACCCATCAGCGGAAATTCCTATTGGCTATATACGCGTAAGTCAAGAGATATCATGCGGGGCGTCGTAATGGATTAGCACGCAAATGCACTCCATCTCACAACTTCCTCCAAATTTCAGACTCAGAAAGGTGAAAATGGATCAGCGTAAATTGATGGACAACGCCAATACTATAACGGACATGGCCAAGGTGAGGATCAAGTGCTAACGAAGGAAACCGCTTGCAAAGCTCGACGGAATATTGCAGCGGCGGACGGGGTTCGAAATCGAAAATTGAACGGGGTTACAATTGAAAGCTGTTTTTGCCGTCTGGACAATAGTTATTTTGCAAATTAATATTTTCTTTTATTATTTTCTTTATCGCAAAGAATTCAATTCTGTAAGATCGATGACATTTTTATCATTGCAATTAAGTTTTTTATTGTAAAAAATTAACTATATCTTTCCAACGATATTCTTTCTTACATCATCGCGAGATTTATGATGATAAGACAATAGTGCGGTCAAAAATTCGCAAGATTTGACTTAAAAGAAAAGAAATCTTTTTTCGAGATGTACACTTTTCTTAGATTTCTTAGATCCAAGTTCATATTATCGTTAACACCGCGCTAACGTATTGTTCGATCTACTTTACAGACGCAGAACACCGTCTACGAAATCGTCTCGGACATGAACACGCGGCAGGACGCGGTGGAGGAGCGTCTAGCTAGTCTGGAGGAGCGCGTGGCCGGCCTGGGGGAGAAGATGACCTCGCTGCAGGGTCAGCTAGATCTGCTGCCCGAGGAGATAGTCCGCTGCCTGGCGCAGCAGTCGGAGCGGGCGGACCAGCGTCGTAACTTCCTCCATCCGGACACCGCGGCTCTAGTGGTGGCTTCCGGCGGCGGCGGCGGCGGCGGTGGTGCGATCGCGTCAGGCACGAGCCTGGGCGTTTCCGGCGGCGGCGCGTCCACCGCACATCATCCGCTCGCCAGCCTCTCCAACTCGCCCCTTCTGCCGCATTCGCGCAGCGTGCCCAGCGCGCCCAGCACCATGTCCTTGCACCCGTGGCCGGTCAGTCCGGTTCTACCGCCCGTCTCCAGCCGTACGCCGCACCTGGTGCCGGAGACCGGCAGGCATCACGGCCTCAGTCACTCCGCGTCGGTGACCGCGACAACCTCGCAATCGGCCACCAGGCTCACCTCGCAAGCCGGCATGGGCGGGACTGGGCAACAGCCAAGGCTCGGACACGTCGGCGCACAGCTGAGTCTCGTCTTTGCAGCCGCAGCACTCGTATTAAGGCACCATCCCGAGGCGCCGGTTTCCGCGTGATCGCCGACAGACATATTTATTAGTCGATATAGTACTGCCGAGATAATAACTGCACTATACGGTCCTCTCTGGTCGGCCGAAAGTTTGTCCCTCGCACAAACAAGTGCGAGAACTCCCGTCCGCGGCGGTTTGCTCCCTTGCGTCATTCGGCAGTAATGGCTCATACAGATCTTGCAGATAATGTTGCAAGATTTTCTGCAGTATTGGAGAACGATTTTTATCTAATTGTCACAATGCAGTAATTTGCATGGAGAATTCCTATTAAAAAAAAAAAAATGCGATTTCAACTGCAGGATTGCTTTTGATTTGAAATTTGTCGTTTCGAAAAGTCACTAATTACGCTAAATACACACGGCGTCATTGATGCTACTTCCGATGAGGCATTTCTAGGTCGCAAACACATCGTCTGGATATTCACATATAATTATGTGTATAAAAGAATTTAGAACTCGTTAGTTGTTTTTGATGAATTGAAAGCAAAAGCTAGAAATGTAAGGCGTTACAGACGCCAAGCGCACGTCAAATTTGTAAATTATTTCGTTTGGCGTATACAAATTTTCTCACCGCCGCTGCACGCAGCTTTCTGGCGATTGGCAATCAAATCCAGAGCAAAATGGTTGAAGTCGAAATATTAATCGTCGGATGAACGCGAGGGAGGACAACGCTCTGAATGAGAGTTCTGCGGCGACAAGATTGATCAGACACGGCCGTCTGTTTATCGCGCGAAACTCGTCCGAAGATGGGTCTTCTTGCGTCCCGCGCGTACTTTCGAGTCTCTCCTTATAAAGCTAGCGAAAGCTTTCAGCAAAATCCAGTTTACTCAACTGGCAAGCGAAATGTAAAATCGAGAAATCGAACTGCCTGTCCGGACGCCACCGTATGCATGTTTCCAACATAGTTGCCGTAGGTCAGACGACGTTCCTTTCTCCGTGCGAAATTCCACAGATAGCTAATCTCGTTTTTACGCAAAAAAAAAAAAAAAGAAGTCACGACCGCTCGTTTCCATTCGTTTCCATCATCTACTTCTGCCGACTGCTCGATCGCTTCCAGTTCTCAACTCTTCGATCGCCAGTTTTTGAGAAAAACGTATGCTATTAAGACGTCGAAGTTTTTTCACAAGCGTACAGCAGAATTAGAATTCTGATTAATCTACCGTAAAAAAGAAAAAAAGAAAAAAAGAAAAAAAAGAAAAATCTGCACAATTAAGCACGAGCAATCGGATCGATCGATCGATCCTCAGACGAGAACGAGAAGGAGAGAAACTCTCAAGGTACGCGCGGCTTCTTCCACTAGCTGCGCGCTGCTCCCCTGCCCAACTTGCGTGCCTGAATAACTGTTTTCTTAATAATTAAATGTACATTCGACACACAGATACACACACATACAGATACACACACATACATACACACACACACAGAAACTCCACCTTGTATCTCTGTATACCTCGTGAAAAGCGCGGACGGGCATAAAGTGTGTGTACAGGAAGCGCGTGTGCGGACGAGGACTAGCCGGGAGGCGAAACAACGCTGGCTCTTAAAGCCCGCGCGTAATTACGCTAAACCGTCCCTTTCTCCCCCTCCCCCGCCCTCCCCTCCCCTGAATAGCGCAAAGGCGCTTTAAAGGGCTATTGTGCGCGCACCTCTCACAATTTCGATCCACAGACGCGGCCGATTGCCGACCTTCTCAACTCGAGATAACGCTCTGTAAAGGACGCTTCGTGTATCCGTTTTAACGAGCAGCTAAAGTGCCACGTGCGCAGCTTCACGATTTCCAATCGAGCCGGGGAATGTACCCTTGTCAAACTCACGCCTGATTCACTTTGAAACAAAAGTTACGCGACTGTCGCGGCGTCAGTCAGCCCGCGCGGACAAAAGATAACGGGAAAGATGTAAGAGGTGGGGTCAAAGTTATTCAATGTCGAAAATGCAAATGCCAATATATTCGATCCGAATTAACTCGCGTCTCGCACGTACATTCCTCTTCTCTCTATCATTTCTCCGCTGATAATATATATCCCTTCCGGCCTACACACCGGCGAACTACTCGGGGGTTGACGTACGCTAGTCACTTGTGTACTTACACGCGTTTGAACGCTGAGGGGAAGAATTGTTCCTGTTGAGACGGCGCCTGAAGACGCGCTTTAAGGGCCGGCGCGGACCCGACCGGGGGTGTCCAGGAAACGAATAGAGAGAGAATGCAAAGTGATCTTATTCGCTTTAACGTCCGTAGGTATAGGTTACATAGGATACTATATTGTTAGTGTATACTTGTACATGGCGCATGGGTACAAAAAGCTGCTACGTTTCCGCTGAGGAAAAGCGGGTGGAGTGGGAAAGTGGGGGAGGGAAGTGGAGTGAAGATTTTTTTTTTTCACATCGGAAGGCGTGACCGCGCGCGAGGATGTGGCGCGGCGCGCGCACGGGAAGAGGGGGAGGGAGCTTAATTAAATGGATCGACCAGACAATGGGAAACTAATTATTTGCTAACGACTTCCCGTTCGGAGGCGCTCACCAAGTTTTTCTGTTCACCATCGTTCACCTGATTATCGATCGCCATTTAAATGTCTTAATTACGTTCTGTATATACGGAAGTGAATACGGATTTCGTTTAGCGAGACTATAGTCGTTTCTTTTTCTTTTAACTTTCTCTTTGATCGGAAGCGATTGGTATAATTCGAAACCTCCGAGTGTTTGGCGAACGGAGAAACCTGGTTGGCGCGCCGAAGAGTGCAGGAGCGTTCCGAAAAGAATCGAACACGAATTTATGTTTACAATCGACTTTGCATCTGAGGAAATTTGCATTTGCCACACGGTGTAACTCGATTCTTTTCGGGGCGCAATGCACACTCGCTGTAATTCGCAGCCACAACGCAGCGCGCGTCTGTATTAATTTTTTTCCGACGCGAATATTTGTCCCGAAGATGTTCAGATCTCGACGCATCGGCACGATGGTGCTTGTTAGCGCAACCATAACCGCACGCGATTACCGAGACTTCTATCGAGGCTTCGCAAGGCGAGCTCGAGCGGTTCTCATCCCTTCGACATTACACAACGTGTTCGCCTTCAGTTAATTTAGAATTATTCTCTGTGAAAAAAGAATTAAACTAAAAGGAAAATGAGCACTCGTTGAATTGGCAAATTGAGGCTCATTCTACGTAAACTGGAATTAATTTCAAAATTGGATCTTCAAAGGAAAATTAAAAAATTGTTTATCTTTATTTTTCTCTTTTATGAAAAAGAACTTGATCTTATTAAAATCTGATTTTCACTTTGTCTTTGCCTTATTTAATACTATACATTTACTTTAGTGTTTTAATTTCAATTGAAAAATTTAGATGATATTTATCGATTATTCTTAATTGATTTCGCAGAAGGGAAAGATCGCTCGAGCCGTCTTCATGCTCGGGTTCACAAGAAAAAGCTCACTATAACGCGGATAAAGCTGGGACCTGGTTTGTCTTGTCCGTCATCGTTTCATTTCGAAAGCATGGTTTCGCGGCTAATCGCAATGCGAAACGGGACCAAAACAGACACAATTTTCACAACGTTCTCATTCTTACCTTTCTCGATCTTTCTCTCTCTCTCTTTCCCTTTTTCTCTTTTTTCCTTTCTTTATTTTTTCCCTCTTTTTTTTCTTACAATTGAATATATTTTTCATCTAGATAAAAAAAAAGATGAATAAGAACTAAAAAAAGTATTTCTTAATTAAGAATATTTTGCTATCTTTTAATAATGAAATTTACTAAAAAATAAAAGTAATTTCTTCGTTTGAGAATGAAAAATATTTGCGCTGACATAAAGATTTTTGCATTATTACGAAGAGGCATTGTATTCTGTATCCTCACATAGATTATTCGATAGTAATCCTTTTTAATAAAGACAATTACGCGTTAATATAATGAAAGAATTCACATAGAAATTCTTCTTTCTTCCTGAAAAAGACTGTGCTAAACTTTTATTCATTTTACTTTTACTATGTTTCTATTTAATTATGTCTTTCGTCTACATAACACTTTTTTGTCATAAGATTATTATTCAAAGACATCGAATAATTTATTTGAAGATACAAATGAAAAGTAAAGATTCAAAAGCTCTCTCGTTTGATTGATAGATTATCGTGAAATAAAAAAAGAAAATCATTTACTATGACAAAATAAACTTTCTATTCGAAGTTCAAATAGAAGGATTATCTTGCGCACGTGGAAATAACTTTTATTTATTCAACTTTTTATCTGAATAAAATTCTCAGTTGAATAATCTTCAATTCTGCTTTCTTCCTCTGTTTTCCTTCAATGTATCCGCCTAACCTATTTCTCACCGTTTCCCTTTTTCTTCATTTCTTTTCTTGTTTTCTATCCTCTATCTTTCACCCCTCTCCCCTGTTTAAGAAGCATTCCTCTTTCGCACGCGACTCAAACGCACTGGACATGACAACTCCACGATATTTTTATATAGATTTCTTAAAAGTGCATTATGGTGCCAGGAAGACCACGCCAAGTATAAAAACGTTAAAGTAAAAAACAGTCTCAATATATTGGATTCTTTTAGGTGATATAGACACCGACTTTATAATATTGTTAGTACGTAATGACGTGGATACGTAGATGATTACCGAACTCTTCGACATAGCGAAGTTACATGATATCGTGATGAAGGCAGTGAAGAAGAGAGAAAAAAACATTGCAACGGAAAGAAGTGTCGCGAACCGCACTTAGAGTGCACACAATATGATATTGACGATAGATTGATTTCTTCTCACACAATAGACAACACATATATACTCAAACACACACACACACACACATACACAAAGTACAACGCGCGCATATACATTAGATATATATTGGGTTATTACGCAAAGCCTGCATCAAACTTCAGTGTACGCGTAATAAATTTCGAATTTTCCTTCCAGATATAATTACGAAGTAATTAAATTTGAAATTGATTATATTTAGAATTCAATAAAGTGTAGTGATTACTATCGTATGCTGTGGTTGAAATAACAACTACATGTCTGTATAGAGTTGCGATCGTTGATATTTTTTATCTATTTGCAATTCGGAAGCTTCTTAATTAATTAAATTGTTAATTAAAGTGTTTTTATGTTTTTTTTTATGTGCATATAGTTTTAATGATGCGTAAGACACTTTTATATTAATAATTTATACACTGATGAAGGCCTTATCTAGGCAGAAACGTTTCTGATTACAAGCTTAAATTTCAAAATATATGTACGGACAACCAACATTGGCTCATTTGCGCTTTATTTTTTTATGTGATATTTATCGTAAGATTCTTGATATTATAATTTTGTCTTAATTAATTCTTTCAAATCTTATACAGAGTAATTTTATTTTCTAATTTTAGAAAAGATAAAGTTAACTGCAAGATTCGACGAAGCACGCTCTTGAAATTTGATGCAAATTGATGGAATACCTGATATGATATCTTCGATTCTATTAATTTCTTCTGAACATTGAAAATCTGAATGAATATTCGTCGTATTAAATTTTTCTTGAATCTCGAAAGTAAGAACCTATAAAATTTTAAATTTTACATTAGTAAAGTAACTAAAAGTGGACCTCCACAGTTTTTAACTCTTAGAACCCATCGATTCTTTGAACTCTTTGAGAAACTTGGATCATTGAAACTTCAGATTTATGAAACTTCCAATTTTCGAAATTATGTGGCTGTAAAATTTTCAGAGAAAGAAAATCACTTGTAAAACTATACTTTCTTCAAACACGAGGTTCTCAAATACTTAAAAAATTCTGATATTTTTCTTTCAAAAATATAAATCTAAAAATATTTAATCTCAGAATCTACAAACTATCAACTTCTTGAAGATTCTTAAGACACAAAGTTTCCAAATTTTAAGTGTGCACAAAGCGTAAGACACGAAACGGTTCCTCCTTTCTTTCCACGCGTTGTGATTTAACAATTTATTAATCGGAATCGAGAACG